TCCGCCCACGGGCACCCACCCGCCCACTCCCCGGGTCCGAGCCGCGCGAGCCCCAGCCGCTCCCCCCCGCGCTCGCCAACGTGCGCCCCACCTCGCTCTATCCCCAGGTACCCCTCACCCGTGAGTCATCCTCCTTTCCCGGTCTCTGGTATATGTCATCCTCGCCAGCCCTGTTTGTTCCTGGGCTGCGTTCATCATCAGCATCCCCTACCATCCTCATCGTGGAGCGTTCGGATTATTGGCGCACCCACTGGGTTCTGGGCAGCAGGGCAGAACGCCTCTGGATGCATTTTCCCCTCTGAGACCATATCGTTCTCATGACTAGTCAAGTGTCTCTAGAGCCACAACAATGTGATTTTTAAGAACAATTTTGATATACACACACCTCCACCAGCCTGGATTTTTCTGGGTGCATTGTATGCAGTATCTTTCTTGACCCATCCTCAGTAGGTCGGTCCCGCAATTTATCCTAATTTCCCCGCAAGTCGGCAACTCTTTAATTTGTCATTTGGGGCTGTGGGTAGTCCTTTCACAGCACTTCTCTGGTGCTTGCAAATGAATTACCTACTCTAATTTTTCATGATGCTCACTATCATCGCGGACTCACTTCTTAGCCTCTCTGGGTGCTTCTGCAGAAACACGGATCCCAGATAAGAAAAACACCCAACCTATCATATAGTGAGAGGCTTCTGCTCAGTGCCTGGCCCAATGAGAGGCATTAAGATGAGCTCCTCTTACTGATAAAGGCAGAAATAAATAGACAATCCTTTCAAAACAGGTAATGTTATCAGTTTTGAAACCCAGAGATTAAATTTTCTTAATATACTTATGAAAGAGTCACTATGGAGAAGGGTTCAAATTGTACGACAAGTGAAAAAAAAAATCAATAGTGATGAGAGAATTGGTATGCTCCCCGCCTGGGGGATTCTTTTTATAGTTCCAGGAAGAATCTAGCACTAATCTTTTTTCTTCTGTAACCCTAATTTTGTTAATAAAGATGATGATGATGATATTTATGAATCCTAAAACTCCTAAAGTCTTCAAGTTTAGGGTAAGTAAGGTTTTTTAACCACTGGGTCTCCTATTGAATACAGGTGTTAATTCTACTGGGATACATCTGTTTGAATCCTTTCAGTAATAGGAGGTTTACATCTTAAGTCTCTTCCTATGTCTAAATCCTTCTTCTTAAAAAATTTTCAACTGTCTGAAGTGTCTATCATGCCATCTTCAATTTCCTCCAAAGTAAACCTCCCAGTGGATCTTACCAGTAATTGTGAAGCATGATTTTAATGCTGGTCATTGTGTTCACCAGCCTTTGCACCCAATAGTGTTTTTTCACTAGCCTTCCAAAGCAGTGAAATCAAGAATACATGTAAAGAACCAAAAACTGTGTCTGGCATTTACAAGTGCTTTATAATCATTTTTATTTGCACAACTTAACATTGGCTTAACTTTTTGGTAGCCATGCCAGTTATAAGGATATCACTGAAATAAATACATAGGCCACTATAATGCCCATTTCGTTTTCATAAGTTCTGCTGCCTGAAAATATATCTTCTTTCCTCTAATTAAGCAATTGATGAAATTACCCTAATCAGCATCTTTTCCTCATTTAAAAAAGAAATGTACCCGTTTCCCTCAGATCAGCATGCTAGTATATTCAGGGAGACGGGGGGAATAGTTTGAATTCTGGCTTTACCAGTGATTTTATGATCTTGGCGAAATCATTAATGCTTTCTGAATTTCTGTTTCCTCATCTTAAAAATGGGGTAAAGACATTTACCTCAAAAAAAAGAGAAAAGAAATATTGAATGAGGAGACATATTTGGAGCACCTAACTACATGTGTAACACTTTGTAGTACCCTTTTCCTTATTCCTTGCTCTTTCCAAGAACTGTATTAGGCCACCTCTCAATTATTAATATAAAGAGGGGACTAGAAATGTAGATGAGATAGTCATTCTATCAGATGCCCTTCTCTGCTAGTCAGTCTGGAGATACAACAGACAAGAGCCTTGTCCTCAAGAGGTTTACAATCATGTTGGTCCTCCTGAAATTCTTCTAAAATAGAAACAAAGGAATAAATCCTTTGATAGACATTAGAACTAGCTGAATGAAGCTCTTAAGGCAGGGGCCTAGTGCACATTTAACAGTGGTGATTTTATTTGCTAGGGCTGATATTACAAAATTCCATAGACTGGGTGGCGTAAACAACAGAAATTTATTTTATCACTGTTCTGGAGACTAGAAATCCAAGATCAAAATGCTGGCAGAACTGATTTCTTTCTGAGGCCTCTCTCCTTGGCTTGTAGATGGCCACTGTTTTTGTGTGTCCTCACATGACCTTTTCTCTGTGCATGTCCTCCCTGGTACCTCCACTTCTACTTATAAGGGCATTATTCCTGTTGGATTAGGGCTGCACCCTTATCACCCCATTTAACTTTAATTACCTCTTGAAAGGTCTTACCCCCAAATACAGTAACATCCTATGGTATTGGGGCTTTAACATGTGAATTTTTAGTGGGGCACAATTCAGTCCAATATAAGTGGCTTCCAATGTGATTGGAAGAGAGATTGTGAAATTTCCAATGTGATTCTCTTGTTCAACCAACGGTATCCATAGAAAAACATCTTAAATCTCTGTTCATAAGATATGAATGAGGTACATTTTTTGAAATATATATATTTTTATTTATATCAGAGAGGAAGGGAGAGGGAGAAAGAGAAAGAAACAACCAGGAATTGAACCTTGACCTCCTGGTTCATAGATCGACTCTCAATCACTGAGCCACACCAGCCAGGCTGAGGTACCCTTAAAGTCAACACTAACATCATGTTCAGGGTGCTAGTCAAAAACAATGACTTAGACAAACTCCTTTAAAGTAAGTGTCTTAGCTATCTTCTCCACTGATACTATCGAATCATCATTTCTCAAAATAACTCTAAAATTGGACACCACTGTTAACTGTTAATTCACTAGCCGAGATTATAATTTCAGAGTGGAAAATCATTGAAATGGAGTCAAGTTCAAATCTTTACCATATAAAGTTGTAGTTGGCTTAATCCTGTCTTCCCCCAAAATTCATATCCACTCAGTCTCAAAATGTGACCTTATCTGGAAATGGACCTTTACTGATAATATTAGTTAAAATGAGATTATTTTGTATTAAGGTGAGTCCTAAATCCAAAGACTACTGTTCTGTGAGAGGAGAGAATGCTTAGACAGACAGGCAGGGAAGAAGGCCATGTGAAGATACAGACACACAGAGAAGAAGGCCCTGTGAAAGCAGCCATAGAATGGAGTTATGGTGCCCTGAACCAAGGAATGCCTGGAGCCACCAGATGCTGGGCGAGGGAAGGGAGAAATCTCCTCTAGAGACTTCAGGGTAATCATGGTGCTGCTAACACCTTGATTTTGGATTTGCAGCCTCCACACTGTGCGAGAAGAAATTTCTGTTGTTTTGGGTAGTTTGTACAGTTTATGGTACTTTGTTACCACAGCCTTAGGAAACAAACATAACAGTTGTGCGAGTTTGGGTGGATTGGGAAACCTCACGGAGCCTTATTTTGCTCATCTATAAAATGGAAATAACAATATTCACCTTTCAGGATTTCATTTTGTTTTAATCCTCACTAGAGGGTATTTTTTTCCATTGAGTAGAAGGGAGTGTGGGAGAGAGAGAGAGAGAGCGAGAGAGAGAGAGAAACATCAATGAGACACAATCGATAGGTTGCCTCCTGAAGGAGCCCCAGTATGTGCCCTTGACCGGGAATGGAACCTGTGACCCTTCAGTTCGAGGGCCAACGCTTTAACCACTGAGCAAAACCAGCCAGGGCACCTTCCAGGGTTTTGGCAAGGATAAAAAAGTTGTGAATATGTGCAGCACCTACTTTGTGCTAGGCGCTGAAGAATATGGGAGAGAACAATGCATACAGAGTAATGGCCCTGGGGGGAATTGGCAATCTATGGACTATGCGTCAAAAGCAGCCCAAAAGCCTGTGTTTTGTGAATAAAGTTTTATTGAAACACAGATACATCCATTGATTTATGTATTATCTATAGCTGCTTTCATATTACAATCACAGAGTACATGCAACAGAGACCATATGTTCTGCAAAGTCTAAAATATTTACTATCTGCTTTTTTACAGGGGAAAAATTTTTTTTCTACATGCTTACAATACAGTTGGAGGGGAGAGGCATAAATAAATACACACATAAGAACCGCTGGATCACAATAATTGCTCTAGAACAGGGGTGGGCAACCCCTGGTACGCGTGCCAAACATGGCACGCCAGTAACTTTTGCTGGCACGCGAAACCCTCTCTTGTAATCTTCCATTTACAATTGTGAATCTTTGTTCTCAGTAAAGAATTTTGTTAAGTCTCGTAACAGGAGTAGCCTGACGGAAAGCAGTAGCTCGTGCATATCTCTGAAGGTCACGAAATATAAACCTGATGTAAAATCTCTGTCATCGGTGATGCAGCAGCAAAAGTCCCACTGATAATATCAAACGGAGTCATAAAGTTTTCTGTCGGACTATCAGTGTACATGTATACATTAAAAAATAAATGTATTTTTCATCA